AGCGGTCCAACAGGTTTTTGTACTTACATTTGTAAGCGGTCCAACAGGTTTTTGTACTTACATTTGTAAGCGGTCCAACAGGTTTCTGTACTTACATCTGTAAGTGGTCCAACAGGTTTCTGTACTTACATTTTAGAATGGTTGGGTTATGACCTTTGAAGGATGATTTTAGAATGGTTGGGTTATGACCTTTGAAGGATGATTTTAGAATGGTTGGGTTATGACCTTTGAAGGATGATTTTAGGATGGTTGGGTTATGACCTTTGAATGATGATTTTAGGATGGTTGGGTTATGACCTTTGAAGGATGATTTTAGGAGGGTTGGGTTATGACCTTTGAAGGATGATTTTAGAATGGTTAGGTTATGACCTTTGAAGGATGATTTTTGGATGGTTGGGTTGTTAAATTCCACTTCTTCCTTTGTTTTATTAATAACGATTTAAGTAAGCCTCTTCAACTTGAATAGTTGCTGAATGGAAACAAGGTTGATCACATTAATTATGAGCTTGTTAAGAAAAAAATGCAAAGTTTAATAAATGATAAAGCACTTGGGCCAGGTAATATTAACCCAAGAGTTTAAAAAGAGTGTTAGGATTGGATATGTGAGCCATTTGTCACTATTTGTTCTAAGTTCTCGAACAGTGGGCTGGTTCCAAAAGATTGGAAGTTGGCTAATGTTACTTCTCTTTTCAAAGGAAGTGATAAAAATTGTCACAGTAATTATAGACCTATTAGTCTTTGATCAGTGGTGGGAAAAGTTTTGAAAAGTCTGATAAAAGTTGTTTTTGCAAAATCAATTAACAAAGTTTAGAATTTTATTGGATAGTGAACATGCTTTCATTAGGGAAACATCTTGCCTCGCAAATCTTTTGACATTTTTGATGAGGTTACTGCTTACATGTATGAGGAAATAGATCTGGATGTGGTGGATGTGGATTTTCAGAAAGCATTTGATAAGGTGCCATATAAAAGGCTTGTAAAAATCATAGGTGTGGGGGTTAGCAAATTGGATAGAATAGTGACTGGATGGAAGAAAGCAGAGGGTTGTTACAAACGGAGTTTAGTCAAACTGGATTAATATTATGAGTGGATTACGTCATGGCTCAGGGTTAGGACCTTTGCTATTTCTGAATTGCATCAGTGACATAGATGAAGGAATTGTCAACCGATTATTTAAATTTGCTGATGAAATTAAAGTTTTGGGTGTTACGAGCTGTGAGGGAGATGATACTGCTTTACAAAATGATTTGGATTCTTTGGAGAGTTGGGAAACTAAGGGGCAGATGAGTTTTAATTAAAATAAATGCAAGATAACACATGTAGAATATCACAATTTGAATTATGAGTATAATTAAATAACTTTAACACTGTTGTGGAAAAAGAAGTCTTAGTGTTCTGGCTGATCAACCTGTTAAGCCATCCAAACAGTGTGCTGTTGCTAGTGGTATGGCAAATGTAATTTTAGGTTTTATTTACGGAAATATTGAATACAAATCTAAAGAGGTTATAATTTTATTGCATAGGTCACTGGTCAGACCACATTTGGAATATTGTGTTCAGTCTTGGGGTCTTTACCTTAGGTGGGGCATTGAGAGGGTTCATAGGAGGAGGATACCTTAAATGGAAAGGTTATCATATGAGGATAGATAAAATTTCTGAACTTCTTTTGTTTTCTCTTGAAAAAAGAATAGTTAGAGGGGATCGGATTTAGGTGTTTAAGATTGTTAAGGGAATTGACGTGTCGTCTGATTTCTTGTTTAATGATGAGAATGGTAAGACTGGGGAACACAAATATAAATTTTGAAAGGAAAGAAGTCGAAATGCGGGAGACTTTCGAAACGTCGTCCTCCACACTTGTGTTTCTACAACAGTCAATTGTCGTCCATTCAATTAAGTTTCGTCATATATATATATACCCTGTTTAAACAATCTATCAAAGAATAGGAATGAAGTCGTCTTAAACTAAAACAGATTTATTTTCAAACAAGATGGTTGACTTCTGGAACAGGTTGCATATATGAAGGATGCAAGAAGATGTTGACTTCTGGAACAGGTTGCATATATGAGGGATGCAACAAGATGGTTGGCTTCTGGAACAGGTTGCATATATGAGGGATGCAACAAGATGGTTGACTTTTAGAACAGGTCGCATATATGAGGGATGCAACAAGATGGTTGACTTTTAGAACAGGTTGCATATATGAGGGATGCAACAAGATGGTTGGCTTCTGGAACAGGTTGCATATATGAGGAATGCAACAAGATGGTTGACTTCTGGTACAGGTTGCATATATGAATGATGCAACAAGATGGTTGACTTCTGGAACAAGTTGCATATATGAGGGATGCATTTGGTTTAAGGGAGTTTGCGAGAAAGCTTGATAAATATTTGAACGATAAGAGCTGGGTTTCAGGTTTTTTAAGGGTTTAGTTTTATCTAGTGAACAGGAAAGTCCAGATAGACCCAGAAATCCCTTGCTGTCCTTTAATGTCATGTGATAATACTTCTAATCGACAAAATATTTGTTCGCATTTATTTTCTAACCCTGTTTTTTGTTACATCTGTTATATGTACTCGTAGGTTGATGAATACTTATTTCTTCACTCTGGTAGAAGATTGAATAGTGTGACGTCATGAAGTGGCAAACTACCCTGCTTCTGATTGGTTGTCTTCTCTTAATGGGTGCAATGACAACGGAGGCGTTTTGTAAGCTTCCAGGCTCGAGAGTAAGTTTTTATTTTATTTTATTTGCACAAAACTATCTTAACATATTCTGTACGTACAAACTACATCCTAACATATTCTGTACGTACAAACTACATCTTAACATATTCTGTACGTACAAACTACATCCTAACATATTCTGTACGTACAAACTACATCTTAACATATTCTGTACGTACAAACTACATCCTAACATATTCTCTACGTACAAATTACATCCTAACAAATTCTGTACGTAATGTAGTTTGTACGTACAGAATATGTTAGGATGTAGTTTGTACGTAGAGAATATGTTAGGATGTAGTTTGCCTTAACATATTCTCTACGTACAAACTACATCCTAACATATTCTCTACGTACAAACTACATCCTAACATATTCTCTACGTACGAACTACATCTTAACATATTCTGTACGTACAAACTACATCCTAACAAATTCTGTACGTACAAACTACATCCTAACATGTTCTCTACGTACAAACTACATCCTAACATATTCTCTACGAACAAACTACATCCTAACATATTCTCTACGTACAAACTACATCCTAACATGTTCTGTACGTACAAACTACATCCTAACATGTTCTGTACGTACAAACTACATCCTAACAT